CCCCAAAACCCCAAAACCCCAAAACCCCAAAACCCCTGAAAATATTCGAAAGATTGAAATTAAGAATTTATTACACATCAATATCATTCAGAGCCAGCCCTAGAGCTGACTTTAAATTGACTACTGCTAATCATGGACTCCTTCTGATTAAACGCCAGATCTGGAAAATTAAGGGCCCTAGAATTGGAGATACTTGCTTCATTTTCTTCAGGAATTTCATTCTCTTCTTCGATAACAGGGAATAAAGAAGCATCATGGGTAAATTTGTTCTTTATCTCCTTAGTTCTACTTTGAAGCCCCCTCATATTCATCGAATAGAGGTTAGAATGCCGTTCTTCAAGGTTAGTTGTGTATGACTCCTCTGAAGCAGCAAAACTAGGATTTCATTCTGTCACTTCTTCTTCAGTCTGCTGTTCAAGAATTGTTCCAAGTTCTCTTTCTTTAACCTCTTCATTATCTCTACTAGTCGAGGAACGGTCTAGGCCATTCTTAATACTTGAAAACTTGTTTAGGACGCTTTTCATGTTGAATCAAGGAGTTTCATCCTCACTGTCACCTTCTTCAAGAGGTTTGTCTGGTGAAAATAGCTTGAAATCCTTCATATGGATGTGATCTTCTACAGGATCGTTCTGGGCTTCAGGTTGGTTCTCCCCATTATCCTCTTCAAGGTTGTTATACTGAAGAAAAACTGGTAGATCAGTGCTGGATTTATGCTTAATTCTATAAATGCTTTACTCTAGTAGAGCTTACCCTTCGAAAAAGTTCATTGAGTTTAATGAGTCATACCTCCAGCAAAGGACCAGGTCTGCACTATGGGCTCTCATTATCCTTGAATTATACTTTTTGGGAGGATTTACCTCAGCAATAGTGATCCTTGGGCTTGAAGCGTGTAATCATTCTGCAGAAGTACTTCTCAAGGTAGCTACTTTGAACGGATTATCGTGATCTATTGAGGTCTTCAAGTTCTTATTGATTTTCTCAAAAGTTAACATTTCAGCAGAGAATTTCAAAGGAGTGATATCCAATGAGTCCACTCTTGGCTCTTTTTTGAGAGTATACTCTGTATCTTCGTTTTTATTTATCAAAAGACTGGATATTTCAATGGGACTGTACATTGCTCATATCTAAGGATACAGGGTTATCTTGTGACAATTTCGTATAAGTCTGAATATTCTCAGTGCTTTCTAATATAATATTCTTCCTAATCTCCAATGGGCTTTCATGCAAAGAGTTTTTAGCCATGCTGTTGTCGTCCATAATCTTGTAATCTTCAGGAAAAGCTTCTTCTTTAGCAAAATCATCTCTGCTGATAGCTGCTTTAAAATGAAGCTCTGATTGAGTTATTTCTTTATCTTCTTTCTTATCAGAATATTCATCAGAAGAAATATCAGAGTCTCTTAAGACATTGAGCTTTTCCTCTTCTATATTTTTCCTTTCTGGTAATTTTATAGCCCCAAAGTTTTAACCTTGCTCGCCTGTAACTTTGTTTCAATCTCATCAGCCAAGTCATTGGAGTCCAACCTGGAATAATCTCCAGAGTCTCAGGGACTCTGGAGATTTTCCTGGTCTCCAGTAAGTCTTTTCTGAGAAATGGAAAGTTCAGGTGACTGTCCAGTTTCATTTTGCTTAGTCTCTAATAATCAAAAAGAAATCGTACCTTCTATTGGTAGACTTTGACTTATAAAATTCAAAGATTTTTGTTCCTCAGATGGCCTCCTTTTGACCTCATTGAAGGCATCAGCCTCTTCTTGCGTAGCAAGATAGATGCTGAAAGTCTGATCATTGGGATCATATTCAGACATAGGGTTCTGAGCTGACATGTTAAATTCTTCCTGATGGGTTTCTGTAGTCCTAACTCTTGGTACATCCAAAGAAGACTGATAATGAACTGGACTTTCTGGATGATGAATTGAACTTAGTTGACTCTCATTTAAGGATTCTAACTTCTTTATCTCCTCTTCTTTATCTGGTCCTGAAGAGTGGTCACTAGGAGTGAGACGAGGAGAGTTATGAAGCTGTAATTTCTCTCTTTTAAATTTATTAGGTGACTTTTTGCACCTGCCTTTTCCTAAGAGACGAAATGAGTATGTGTATTTTTCTATAATTTTATTCTAAAATATTACCTTTTATCTTATTTCTGTAACTTGTGGCACATTCTTTACTAGAGCTTCACTTTCAAGAAAGCTGGTCTTTACATTGGCAAGAAGCTTTGAGGGGTTCATGCCTTCTAGAGCTCCTAAGTGTTTTCTTTGAGCTACTTTTTAGTAATATTTTGCTGATATTCAGTCTTGAAGATGAAAGAGAACGATGCAAGACTTTTTCTTCTTTCTAAATTTATTTAACTTCAGTACCACCTCTCAAAACAAACCAAACCAAACCCAAACTTCCCCAAAATCCCAAAACTCTACCCCCTACGTCTTCTAAATCACAAAAATCCCTCTCCAACTCAATTTCTCCCCCTCTCCATCTCCACCCCTAAACCCTCTTTCACCCCCTTCACCCCCTTCACCCCTCTTCCCCCCTCCACTCCCTCCCCTCCTCACCTCCTCTCCTTCTCCTCCCTCTCTCTTCCTCTCTTCGCTCCCTACACATTTACATACTACAAAGTCCTTACCTTTGGTAGGTTCCATGTTCAATATTTGTATTAATCTCAGGGGTTTTGGGGTTTTGGGGTTTTGGGG